AGTGCTCATCAAACTCCAAAACAGTGCCTGCCGAGCCCTTCTCAACCGATCCACCCGTCGCACCTTCAACCTGGAACGGGGGGGGGCTCGGCCCGCAGCATCGAGGGCATTGGCGGCCAAGGCTGACACAAGTGGGCGCCGATAGCTCGGAAAGGAACCTCTCTGAATTAGATGAGGGCTCTCCCAATTTGCGCGCGTGTGTGTGCGTGTGTGTGTGTGTGTGTGTGTGTGTGCGTATGTGTGTGTGTGTGTGTGTGTGTGTGTGTGTGTGTGTGTGTTTGTGTTTGTGTTTGTGTGTATATTTGTGTGTGTGCGTGCGTGCGTGCGCGCGCGCGTGCGTGCGTGCGTGCGTGCGTGCGTGTGCGGCGGGTGGGGGCGGGGGGGGCCTCTGTCATGGCGTGTCATCTGCTGTGGCAGCGCGGCAGTGCAGCCACGCTGCGCGCAACAAGTCAGACCGAAATCACTTATCCTGGCGAAGCGGTGGTTCTCGTGAAGACGCACGGCGCCCACCCGCGCCTCTCCCGAGATCGCTTCGAAACCCTCGCCGCGCCCTGGAAATAAGACCAGTTCTCGATCCGCGCCCAGCCGCGCAACGATGGGGCGGATCGCACGGGGCCGAGGCGACTTTGAGCACGTGGCTCCTCGGGGCGATCACTCTGCACTTTTTGCGCCTCTAGCGCCCAGCAAACTAAACAAAGTCACGGGCGGTGGAAGCGAGAGCAGACTCGAATCTAGTAGCCTGCTCGCGACGATTCTCGACGCCAGGGGTGCGCTCACCGCCCCAAGGTTTAACCTCAAGCGCAATCAACGACGCTCGGCTGGCTCGGAGCCTCACCAATGCCGCCGTCGCGCCTCGCAGATTGGCACGCAGCCTGGGGGCGGCCGCGCGCCAGTCCCAGGCCCGCCGGGCCGCAATCCCCGCCTGGGCGTCGGCGCTGGCACTGTCGAGGCAAATGAAAGCGTCAAACGTTGTAGTGTGCAAGTGACCATATGTAACTCCTCCTCTCTGCGGGGGGGGGATCCAAAGCCCGGAAATCACGCCGGGGCCCCGACGGTCCAGGGCGCGCGAAACCCGCGCCCAAGGCCCCCCGTTCTGGCCCCAGGGAGACGCGGCACGGTCAGCGTGCCAACCATAAACCAGGCCCCCGCACTCAGTCACGCAGCAAATCGGGCCAACTGAATTCTCCAACGCAAAGCAAAATGCCGGAAGCTCGGCCCGAGGGGCGGTCTGAGTCCCGCGCGCAAGAATCTGAGCTACTCCGCGCAGGCAGGCGCGCGGCCCACTCCTACCTGCAAGGGGGCCCAAGCCGCGGGCGACGAGGGGCCCGCGCGCGTCGCCGCAATCGTCGAACCGCATCGCCGACGCCTCGGGCCCGCAGTCTCCGAAAACACGCATGCCCCCTGGGGCGCCGCGGCGATCCTGGATAATCCCCCAGAAGGGCCCGGCTGGCAACGTCAGGGGGCTCGACGAACTCGGGCGCGGAGAAGGTCATTCGGGGGCGCCCCGCGGAGCCGGGGGGGGGGCAAACGGGCCTCGAGGCGCGCGGGCGCCCGGGGGGGCAAAACGTCAAACTTCTGAAAAGCATCGCGCCCCCAGTCGGCGGGGCGTGTCCACAATTCTACGCGCGAGTCCCCGGGTGCCCCGCGCAGCGGCCCCGCGGCGGCGGGCAGACAAAGCTCGCGGCAATCCGCGCCCTCCGCGCCCACTGGCCGCCCGAATTGGCGGCGACGTCGGCCGCAAGTCCCCCGCCCTCCCGCTCTTCGCGAACCGATTCAGCGCAATGCGCGCCGCGGCGCGGTCGGCGCCGTCCTCGAGGTCGTCGCCGGCCGCGCGCCTGGGCGCCCCCCCTCCACTGCGCACTCGCGCTATCGCCCCTGAAGGGCCCCACCATGCGCGAAAAGTGCGCCAGGGCGGCCGCGCTGAAATCGCTGTCTCCGAAGCTCAGGAAAAGCCGGCCATCGATCGCGCCATCGGGGAGCGGCCTGGGCCAGACCGAGGGCGACTGCGGGTCCCCGACCGCCTGCAAAAGCGTCGCCTGCAAGGCAGCAATCGGGCCACTGACGTCCTTCCATCGAATCGCAGCTCCCATCCTTCAATCTGGCCAGCAGAATTGGCCGCGCCCTCCTGGAACGCGGGCGATGACTAATTAGGTTGAGAAATCCAGAGCGAAACCCATCCGTTCAAAAGATGACGCGTGAGATCTACACCGGGCTCTGACGCCCCATGGATGCGTCGCATTGAGATCAGTGGCCAGACATCGCCGGCCGCAGAAGCATCTTTCCCCATAATCATTCATGCCGAAGGCGGAGCCCCAGCGACCTGGAGACCGAATACTCCAGCAAGATAGGCAGTGCTCCACAACTTCCTCGCGATTGAGCGGTCGCGGCCCAACCGACGCATCCTCGTGACCATCCGCTGTCGACGTCGTGCCTGAGCTCGGCGCCTCATCATTCTTCTAGGAGGGCCATTTCTAAGAGCTGTCGCACCTGCGCCCGGATTCACAAAACCACGCGCGCGCGCTCAACGGGAATGCCTCGCCCGCGCAGGCGTCGCTGAAGCTCGAGACCAACGTCGTCGCTAATGGACGCCAGCTTGGTCTCAGACGAGACCGCCGGGCGCAGCTCCTGCAAGCCCTTTGCCATGAGCCCTGCGGGGCCGTCCGCCTCGTGAACCATCTGCTGTTAGGTGCCCTCAGACCTGTTAACAATGCCACCACTGTAGCTCCGCGCCCCTGTCGGAGGCCGCCGGCGATGGACGGCGCCCGGCAGGCGGCGCAGCATGGCCTTGGCCGGCGGAATTCCATGACCCGCGCCAACAACGACGGGGCGAGATGCGGGCACGGCCTCCGATATCATAATGCGAGAGCCCCGGCGACGCATGCCGGCCAATCCCCATCGACGAGGCCATGGAGGGAAGCACCTATTCAAGCCGGCCTGCACCAGCAGAAAGAAGCTCACGCCGTCATGGAATTTCGTCAAATCTAAAAAGAGCGCGGCGCACTCGAACTCCATCTCTCTCAAGCCCTCGCCCATGACCGCGCGAGTCGGCGCCGCTCTCGGCGCGGAGGATCCAGCGATGGCTGCGCCCCAGGACGACGACGGAGATGAAGGCCACTCACGAGACGCCCTCGACCTCACCTTGAACCGAACCGTCTGGGCCATCGGAACCAGGCCCAGTGCCCGGCGGCCTGCTGCCCACTTCGGGATGGCAGCGCCAAGCGCAGCGCTGGGCGAAGACGGCAGGGCGCCCAGCTGCTCGGCGCAATTCGCACCGTCAACGAAGGCGCGGCGCCGCGCGCGGAGCGGTAGTCTCTGAATGCCAAGCGGGCTCAGCACATCAACTCCATTCGCTTTCCTCCACGGGGTCTCAGGTGAGGCGGCATTGCAATCCAGAACCGCAATGGGCGGAAGTGGGCCTGACAAAGCATCGCCCGCGACAACGCGCACCACGTTCAGGACATCCTGGGGCTCGTCAACAGGGCCCTTTCGCAGATGGGCCCACTCCAAAGTCTTGCTCTGCAACGTCGCCCGAGCATCCGCAATCGCCGCGCCAGTCTGGCCAGGGCCCCCCCCCCCCTCCGGCGGCGGGGAAAGCTCGACTTGTCGACGCGCGCGACCCAGCCTCTTGACCCGCGCGTCCTGCGCCCACTTCACAAAGGAAGACCCGGGCGCCATCGCGGCCCCGTCCGCCGAGAAATCTGCCCAAATCCTGGCTGGCGATCAGCCCCTTCCAGACGCAGACGTCCTCGGCCTTCGCCTTCTTGCCGAAGTGCCCCTCGTCCTCGGCGGAGCCCAGCTCTCCTGTTGGGGTCCGGGCCTCCAGCGCGGGCAGGGCCGCGCGCCGGGGGTCGCCGTCTCTGCGCCGCGGCGCCGCGCGGTGCCTCGCTGCCAAGGAGCCCGGCACGCCCCGCCACTCTGCCTGCTCGTTCTTCACGCGCGCTCGCTTGCCGGGCCCCCGAGCGCGACCGGCGCGGCGTCGCCGCTTGTTTGGGCCCACCCCTTCGCGCCACAAAGTGGCGCGCTCCGTCGCGCGGGCCCGGCGCGCGCGCGTCGCTCGCCCGCCCGAAGTTGAAGTCGGGCTTCGGGTTCCAATTGGGCGACAAAGCGACCGCCGCGATCACTGGCAGGAGGGCGCATGCCTTGAACGTCGACGTCTGCAGCGGCAGGCGCACCTCCCCCCCAATCATCTGCAACTCAGATTCCCGCCGAGCCTCCTCCTTGATTTCGGAGCTCACTTCTCCTCCTCAACCCCCTGGGGGTGCGAATCCACGAAGGCGTCGCGATGCTCCTCGGGGCGCCGCTGATGCCGCTGCCGACGAGAAAGCCCCTTCTTCCTCGGCCTCTCGCCCCCGGGGCAGGGCAGCGCCCGCGGGCGCTCGCGCGCGGGAAAAGGTAGCGGGGCAAAGAGCCGCCGAAGCCGGCGAGACGCACGAGCAGCCTCGATCCGCAAATTGACCCACAATGGGTCGTCCACGGCGCGCTCAGATCAGAGGTCTTCCTGAACTCGGGAAACCGGCGACGCGTCGGGCCGCGATCGCACTTGCGTCCAACACCTGCGCCACGCGTCGCCCAGCAAGGCGGCGCGACGATGGCGGCGCCGAGCCCTGCGGCCACCCCGTAGCTGAGCGGGGCGCTGGCTCGATGCCCCAATCGGCCAGCGCCAGCCGCGGGCCGGCCAAGGCCCGAGTGAAGGCGCCCAGGGGTGCCGGCGCATCATGTTTCCGACCTCTCACGCCAAGCCCAGGCCGTTGTAGGCGGGCCGCAATCAGCGCGAGGTTGCCAGCCTTCGCGCGCAGCGCAGAAGCGCCCTTCATCGAGAACCGCGCGGTGAGCGCTCTCAAAGCTCGTTAACACATATCCACCCGCCTCCTGAGCGGCCGCCCTCCGACTTGCCAGACGGACGCGCAGGCGCGTGCGCCGGGCGCCAGCCGTCAATGTCCAGCTCGCTGAAGATGTCAGCCACGTCAGTCTTACATGCCTGTGCGCGTCTCCGCGAAGGCCGCGACGCGGCGTTCCTGCTGCTGGACCAGGCATCGCGCTGCCTGCGGCCCCCGCTCTGTGATCTTGCCGAAGAAGACGTCCAGCGAGGAATCCTCGGAAGCTCGCACACATGCACCTGCCGCTGCATCGCCCCAGTGGCTCGGGCGCCGCTCGCGGGCGCTAGGGCCGAGAAACCCCAGCACCGGCAGCCTCCGCGGCACTTTTGACCACGCCTCCTGCCAGCTGCCACTGCATGCGGTCGCTCTCCCCAGCCGCCGCCCTCGAGGCAGAGCCGCCTGGGCTCGCCACGGCAGCGCCTGAAGCCAGTGAGGCAGGGTCGCCGTCGCCGCGCACGGCCGCGCCGCCTTCGTCGCGGCGGCGGCGCTTGGTGGCGGCCTCCTTGCGCGCAGGCCTCGCCTGCCCCAGCAAGACCTGGAACTCCTTTTGTTTCTCGTTCGCCTGCCTCGCAACCCCTTCCAGCTGCTTCTGGACGGTCTCCAGCGCCCGCTTGTCGGCGGGCTCGAGCTCGTCCAAGGACTCGAACAACTCGCGGTCCACCTTGAGGAAGCAGGCCGCATCTTTGTCATTGACGCACGTGCCGGCTGCCTTCAGTGCCTGCAACCGCTGGCACTCGGTCTCCACCATCTCGTCACTGGCCTTGGTGAAAGCCCAACGCGCACGCTCCAACTGCAACGTGGCCCTCTCGGCCGACCGCGCCGCACTGTGCAAGGCCTCCTGCTTGCGGGAGCACTCAGTGGTGGCCTCCTTGAGCACCGCGTGCGCAGGCTTGGGAGGCGGAGCGGTGCGCTTCGAGGCCGCCAACGACTTGAAGGGGATGGCCAAGTGCGCCGCCTCAGGGTCCGACTCCAGGCCCGCAGGGGCCGACGCATTGACCATGACGGCGTCGACCGCTGGGGGGGGAGACGCCTTGCCGCAGCCTCCTGCGCCACAGCCCTTCGGCCCGAGCTTGGGCCAGCTGACGGAGTCGACGGCCCACCGTTGATGCCACGTGCCATTCTCCGACGTGGTCCAGCCATGCAGCACCGTGCCACAGACAGCGCACGCGCCCTGCTGCTTTATGAGCCTCCGTTTCCACGCCCACTTGCCGCAACAGACGCAGTGAAGGAAGGCATGTTTGCCGATCATCCGCTCTGACAGAAGCTCACGAGGTATTGCTCCTGCAGGTGCTCACACGAAACTGAAAACTGGCTCGGGAAACGGAGCTATCCCGTTTCGGCACGGGGGCGCGGAGCCCCCCAATGCAAGCCACTTTGGGCCCAAATCGTTACGGAGGAGGAAAAGGAAGGGAGAGGGGGGGAGCAGGGGGAGGGGGGGGGGAGGAGGGGGAGGGGGGGAGGAGGGAGAGGGGGTGGAGGAGGGAGAGGGGAAAGGGGAGGAGCAGGAGGAGGGGGAGGAGGAGGAGCAGGAGGAGGAGGAGAAGGAAGAGGAAGAAGAAGAGGAAGAGGAAGAGGAACAATAAGAAGAATAAGGAAGAAACATAATACTAATACTAATACTAATACTACTACTAATAACAATAATACCAATAATAATAGTAATAAACATACTAATGATGATGATAATAATAATAATAATAGTAATAATTACTCCGACGGAAGAACCCCACATAAGAATCCTCTGGGCGAATCTGGAAAAAGCCATCACCGTCGTCCTCGTGGTTGGCGAGGCGTCCTGGCTGTCTCTTCTGCGTATATTTCCTCTCGCCTTGGCGCGGGCCCCCCTTCCACTCCTTACGTTGTCCCCATCCTCGCCCCCCTGTTTGTTCCGCGCCCCGCCACCTCCTCCCCTTCCTGTTGCATGAGCGCGCATGTCGATGTTCCTCGGCGCCGTCGCCGCCACGGCCAGCACAGGCGCGTTCTCTACAGGTCACGTCGCGCAGCCGTTGGGACAACCCCGCGGGCCAGGCTGTCGGGACAACCCCGCGAGCCGTTGGCGCGCAAGACCAAGCCGTTGGGACAACCCCGCGGGCTTCGAGCGAGGCGCAGCCGCGCTCAGGCGGAAGGCAGCACGAAGCCCAGCTCTGCCGCGAGCTGCTTCGCCTCCGCCCTGGACAAAACCGTTCTCTTGTCGAACTCCAGGAGCGCCTTCCGCAGGGACGCCGGCGGCCCGCACTCCAGGAACTCTCGCGGCGGCGGCCGCAGGATCAGCATGTTCCGCATGCACGTGGCGCGGGAGAACATGACGTAGAGGTGCAGCCACCACTGCTCGTCCGACATGCCCGTGCGGCCAGCGTCCTCGTCTCTCGCGCAGTCGATGGTGACGCCCTTGCGCAGCGTCTGGCCCTGCGACAGCGTGGAGGTCAGGTAGGACGCGTGCGTCAGGGTGAACCCCGAGCGGCGCACGCTGTGCGCCCCCGAGCTCTGCCATGTGAACTCCCTTTCGCTGGGCCTGAACATCAGCAAGCTCCGCGCCCGCGCCTCGGCCTGGCCGTCGTCGTCGGCGCCTTCGGCGCCCTGTCGCAGCACCTCGGCGACCTGAGGAGCCCAAAAACTTCCTTGTTGCATCCAAAGTGTGGCCTGGGAACTGCGTTCTGGCAGCGCGAGAACCCAACATTGACGACAGTTACAGGTTTTGGATGACCTGCTCGGATTACCAACATGATCTGCGGGCCCCATAGGGAGGGGGCTCCCGCCTGAGACTTCCTCGCAGTTCACTCACAGACGAGGCTCCCGCCTGAGACTTCCTCCATATTCAGGCTTGAGGAGCCCAAAAGTGACGACAGTTACAGGGTTCCGATGACCCGCTCGGATTACCAACATGATCTGCGGGCCCCATAGGGAGGGGGCTCCCGCCTGAGACTTCTTCACAATTCACTCAAAGACGAGGCTCCCGCCAGAGACTTCCTCCAAATTCAGGCTTGACGAGCCCAAAAGTGACGACAGTTACAGGGTTCCGATGACCCGCTCGGATTACCAACATGATCTGCGGGCCCCATAGGGAGGGGGCTCCCGCCTGAGACTTCCTCGCAATTCACTCACAGACGAGGCTCCCGCCTGAGACTTCCTCCATATTCAGGCTTGAGGAGCCCAAAAGTGACGACAGTTACAGGGTTCCGATGACCCGCTCGGATTACCAACATGATCTGCGGGCCCCATAGGGAGGGGGCTCCCGCCTGAGACTTCCTCACAATTCACTCAAAGACGAGGCTCCCGCCAGAGACTTCCTCCAAATTCAGGCTTGACGAGCCCAAAAGTGACGACAGTTACAGGGTTCCGATGACCCGCTCGGATTACCAACATAATCTGCGGGCCCCATAGGGAGGGAGCTCCCGCCTGAGACTTCCTCCCAATTCACTCACAGACGAGGCTCCCGCCTGAGACTTCCTCCATTTTCAGGCCTGGGGAGCCCAAAAGTGACGACAGTTACAGGGTTCCGATGACCCGCTCGGATTACCAACATGATCTGCGGGCCCCATAGGGAGGGGGCTCCCGCCTGAGACTTCCTCACACTTTACTCAACGATGATGAGGATGAGGATGATGAGTGGTGGTGAAGATGAGTGGTGAAGAGGATGATGATTGATTGTGGGTGGTGGTGGCGATGATGATGTTTGAATGAGGATGATGCCGATACCGATGATGACGATGATGTTCGTGAGCGTGTGAGAGAGTGCGAGTGTGATGATGATGAGTGAGTGAGTGAGTGTGCGAAGGCAGAAGAGGAGAGGGGGTGGGGTGAGTGTTCCTGCGCGGGGTGTGCAGAGAAAACAAGAACCCCACTTTGGATGTGGGGAATAATAATAATAATGATAATAATAATAATACTACTAATAATAAGAATAATAATAATACTAATACTAATAATAATAATACCAATACTAAAACAATAATACTACTAATGATAATCACAAGAAGAACAATGGGAGGAGGACGACGACGAGGAGATGAGGAGAAGGAAGCTGGTGTTTTTTCGGGTGACGGCAGTTCCGGTTAGTGGAACGGGGCGGGGGGGCGTCCCCCAGTACACATCACTAAACCATATTCCACTAAACCCGGTTCTGCCAACGCCCGACCAACCCTCCCTCAAGCCTGGTGGAAACCCCAAAAGCGGCGGAGATACCGACGCGCGGAGAACCCCACGCCTGCTTGCAGGCGAGGGATCTCGCCGTCGGCCTCTGGGGCGCCTGTGGGGGATCCTTATGGGCAGAGGGAGAGGCCCTTGGGCCTTCCCTTGCTGGTCGCGGCACCCCACAGAGGGCCCCGCGGTATGATCTGCATCCTCCACCACTGCACCCCCTTTTCAACTTCTTTTCACCCTCCCCCTTTTTCTCAACCGCATATGGTACTGTTTAGCCTCCAGAGCACCACAACATTTGAATAGGGCCACCAGGGCCAGCAGCTGCTGCCACGGGTCTTGGCAGGAGGCAGAAGAGGAGGAGGAGGAGGAGGAGGCGGCGGAGGAGGAGGAGGAGGAGGAGGAGGAACACTTGCCCAGCACGGCGTGCAGAGGTAAAAAGACGGAAACGTAGGAGGGTGAGAAGCATCAGGCAGCAGCTGGAGCCAAATCGCTGCTGCGAGATGCCTCGGCTGTGGCCACCTCTCGCTCCGGCCCTCACCTAGCAGCGAGGGCTGTCTTGGGATGTCCTGCGGGGGGCCAAAACATATACACCACCACCACCTCCCTCCCCCCCTCCCTCTCGCTGGACAGAGGAGAGAGGAGGAATCGACGCGGTGGTGGTGTATATTCTTTGGGTCCCCATCCTGGGTAGATGGGGAAACTGCTCGGCGGCCACCACCAGAGAGGCAGCCATCACCAAACTGGCGGCCAGGTGGCGGCCAGCAGCGGCAGCTGCAACATGCTGAAGCGGCCCCAGAACCCGAGTCGATCGACCTCGTGGAGAACGAGCCCGCGAGGCACATCGGGCTCTGGGACCGAAGCCTACACACTCTTGGACGACGCCTGGGCAGCTCTCGAACGCGCAATCCTACGGATAGAGGAAGAAATAACGAGGTCCGCGCGGATTTGTTGGATCTGGCCTAGAGCCCTCTCCCTGGCGCGCAGAACGCGCCAGGGTCCGCGCCGGAGGCGCCGCCAGGGGACCCCAGCGCGGATCCTAAAAACCCGCGCGGAGCGCAAACAAAAATATGCTTGCAGAGTTGTTCCCTCTTCTTCGAGAAGGGCGAGACCCAAGAAGCCCTCGCCGGCCCGAGGACGGCCCGCAGCGGGAGCAAGACCCGAGAAGCCTTCGCCGGCCCGAGGACGGACCGCAGCGGGAGCAGCGGCAGCGGCTGCCGTGGCGGGCAACGGCGCGCGAGCTGGCGCGGGCCGCGTCCACGCGCCCGGCGCCGGGCCGAGCTCTCTCGGGCGCCCGCGGGGCGCCCGCGGCCCCCTTTTTCGGGGGTCGGCGGCAGCGGCCTCGGTCAGGGCGCGACTGGCTCGCCCCCTGCGAGGCGGGGTTAACTATACATACGCATCTACGCATATACAGATATACATATATACATTTATACATATATGTATACGTCTCTGTATACACATACATACATACATACATACATACATACATACATGCATACACACACACATACATACATACATACATACATACATACATACATACATACATACATACATACATACACACACACATACATACATACATACATACATACATACATACATACATACATACATACATACATACATACATACATACATACATACATACATACATACATACATACAACTACACATACTTGTATTCATGTATACATATACCTATAAACATACATACATATACACCGCCTGGGGTAACACCGTCCTGGGACCTCAGCGGGCGGTGGGTATGGATATTGTACAGCTGGGCCTACGACAGAATAACATGCTTCAAGAATCTGATACCCTCCGCCTGCCAAACTGAGGAGCACTCGAGGGTACCATCCCCCAGGATGCATAAGAACATCGAACAAGCACGAAAAACGTTAGGGTACCCCCTACGAACCGACCTCGATCTTATGCCTCGGTCCGGCCGTCTACTAGAACCACCGCGCGCGTTTCGCGCGCGCGCTGAGGCTCTCCGGGAGTCCAAGCTCGCAGTGAGATGTCCAGGGTTGGGCGACGGCGGCGGAGAGGACTTACGTCCAAAGACGTTACGGGACAGTAGATGGACAATCTATTCGAACCCTT